TGGTTTACACTTAATTCACTGTCTTTTCTTTTTTTATTTGATTTTTTGAAGTATCATCATCATCTGAACCTTGAATTATCAAATCATCTAAATCTTCTATATCTGATTCAACAATATTTGTTTCATCTATAAATGTTTTATCCCAAATTTCAGTATATAGTCAAATTATCTAATTTTTCTTGTTCTATACTAATTATTTATTTATAATTTATTTTTTGAATAAGGGAAAATAAAAGATGTAAATATATATTTTGAAATAGATATTAATTGATTCAATACTTTTCTTCTGAAAATTCAAAAGATAAAAATTGTGATTCTGGCTGTTTTTTTAAAAATATTGAAGTAATAGCATATATATATATATTAAATTTTGGTATGCATATGGAAAATCTGCACAAAAAAAAAATAAAAGGAAAAATATCCGGCAACTCTTTTTTTTTCCGAAAGTTAAAAATTTTAAAAGGAAAATCCCGGATTTTTAAAGTACTATTTCCAGCCCTGGTACCACACGTGAAAAGAAATTTTTTGAACTAACGAGATTTTTTTTTATTCAGCCATCATGAAAATAAAATTTTTTCTAATATTAGTAAAGTTAAAAAAAGCATATTTTTTGTTCCTTTTTGTTCTTTTTTTAAAGATACAATCATATGTAATATTAATATTTTTTTCACAACAAGCAAGATGATACAATTAAAGATTTTTATGGAAAATTCCAGAAACGCAGCAAAATCTTGGTAGATCTCACTAGAAATTTCGAGTTTTCAATGTTGACCAATATAAATATCAAGTGTCTTTGAGCGAACAAAAAATTCAAATTATTCAAATTATTCAAATTCAACAAATTCAATTCAATTCAATTCAACTCAATTCAATTCAATTCAAAAAAAAAAAATCGCAAATAAAAATTTTATAATTACATATAACATTAATAATAACTTTACAGAATGTCGATCATAAGCTTTGGTTTTGATCCAGAAGTCAAATTTAATCGTTTTTTTTTCGACGACTTTAAAGATTCAAGCGTATCAAAACGTGGTCGTGGTCGTAGACATGATCGTGACTGGACTCCTTTGATTGATGTTCGTGAAGGTGAAAAAGAATTCACTATTACTACTGAATTACCGGTAAGTTTTTTTTTCATCCTTGGAAATAAATAATTTATATATTTTATGTTTGACAGAAAAATATTAATTCTTTCTCTTTTTACATGATTATGTATAGGGTCTTACTAAGGAACAAATAGATATTGGCATTAATGATGATGTTTTAACAATCAAGGGCGAAACTAAACAAAGCCAAGAGCATAAAGAGGGTACAACCCATATCCAAGAACGCCGTTGGGGTAAATTTGAGCGTTCGCTTTCACTTCCCAATAATGTGAAAACTGAGGATATTGATGCTAAATTTGAAGATGGCGTTCTTGAATTAAAACTTCCAAAAATTGAACCTATCGGCAAAAAGATTAGCATTCAATAATTAATTGTAATAAGTGGATGTTTTTTAAAAAACATAATTAAATTTTATTTTATTAATGTAATAATTTTATTGTATTATAATAATTTTATTTCTATAATCTTTCTTGAATAATTTTTTATTCGTGTATTTGATTTCATGTAATTAAAAAAAATAAATGTCATTAAAAATTGCATAAATATCTGCTGTAATGTTTTGGAATTCAAGTATCTTACAAATATTATTTGAATATGTCATTATTTTAGGGGATTGATTTCATAAAATTATTAATGGTAAATTTTATCTCGAACTTTTATATATATATTACAATCTCTCACTCTCAAATTATTCAAATTATCAGATTTTAAAAAATTTTTATGAGATAATAATGATTTAATAATACATTTTTCAATCATCCAAAAACTAATCTATAATATAGTAATAATAAAATAGTATTAAATATATTAAGCTTAAAAATAAATAGTATGGATATTAAAATATATTAATGTTGTTATACCCGATGATGATGATGATAAATAAATGATATTTTTAATCAATCAAAATAACATTTCCTAATACTAAAAATAAATTAATATGATGAGGATGACTTCTAACCTGTGAATTATTCAGAAATTGAAGTAACCATAGTTGCAGTAGCATGCGCAAATGAGCTAATACAAATTTTTTTTAAAAAAGATCAAGTGACACATTGCTGATCAATTCAAAATTTTTTTTGATCTTATACAATGAGGAATGCACCAACATTAACCAACGCTTAGCTTATTTCTCTCAAATTCCTTTGACTCAGGCAGTTCAATCTCCCATATTCAGCCAGGATAATTACGTTCACCTTTACCTTCATCGATGGCCAAGGTCGAGTGTGGTAATACGAGGCCCTGTGTCTTGTGAATGGTGAGTGCGAATGCATTCGGGATTGGGGAACTGACTTATCGAAACTGACGTAGTTTTTTTGAACATTAATTTTTATTATGTTGTCATTTGTAGAAAAGGTAACTTCAACGTTAGTGTCGTCAACAACTTTGTGATCACACTAATAGTTCCATTGCATATGTCATGTTCGAAGAACTTATTATTCGGATACATCGCCTATGCATCTTCCTGTATGTGACAGATTATTTGATTATTGAACATGTCTATGAACTTATATATAATGATGTCAGAGCATTTATCATCAAAATGGTAAATTACTACAAGTGAAGGAGTTGATACATGTTAGTCTCTTATGTGCAGGATATTCAATTCACTTTATTGTCGTCAAGCAAAAGAATGTATTAGTACAAGATAAAATGAATGAATGCACAAATGAAAAATTTGAATATCAAAAAATCATTTTTGTTTATTTTTTAGATCATGCTAATTTTGTGTGCAGGAAATTCAATTCACAGAACTTGACTTCATTGTTGTCAAGCAAAAAAAGACAATAAAGAATGTATCAATACAATTTTGTCAAAGAAAGAATGAATCAACGCACAAATGAAAAATTTGAATACGATTTGACAGATAACGAATTTTTTCTCATCATTTGGTGTTTTCTACTGGCCTTTGTACCTGAGTTAACAAACTCTTCAGACTTGTTTTGGGTTCTATCATAATCCAACCTTTCAGTAGAATCTTTCTCTTCAGTTTGGTTCATTGCATTCTCCTCTTTGATATTGATCACTGATTTTTGGCTTTCCCTGGAGGGTCTTTGTTCTGACACCTGCTTAAAGCTCCGAACGGTTCGGTTCAGTTTTTGGTTTTTTCAGTTTACATTTGACTCAAAAATTTCTACGCAAAAATAAACATAATAACTTCACAAAAAAAATATCATAGTTTGTAGCTTGGTTTTGGCGAATATGTTTCGAAGTAGAAACGCTGGAAGGATCCTGTCTCTAAATACATAGTCTATAATTTTTATACCATAGTAGTGAAGGTATATTTCTTACCAAAATTAAAATGGAGACCATGATCCATTTCATATATAATGCCATGTTTATATACAGCTGGTCAGTTATAAGTCTAATCGTTACATATTTCTATGCTTAGAGTTTCCATTTGTAATAGAAATTCTTATTCGAATTATTCGTTTTATTCGTTATTCGCCTTATTCGAATTACTCGTTTTTATTTTGTTTGTTTTGTTCGTTTTATTCATTTTATTCAACTAAATTTTCAATGTAATTCGAATAATCAAAATTCATAACGAATGAAACAAATGATTCGAATAAACCCTATTCGAATAGAAACTCTAAGAACGTTCTATTTTTTTAAAAAATTCATATATAAAATTCATCATCTCTGCAAACTTTTTAAATGCATTCAAGCTCTTATTGTTTCAGGTTTTAAACTACAATGCCTTTGTAATTAAGTCTGTGTCTCCAGGAAAAACTCGTTCAACTGGGACACTGATTCCTATAATAAGTTTATTAGATTAGAAATCAATAAATTTAATTCCAAGCAAACAGAATGCAAAAATTAAAATACCAGTGACTGCAAGTGGTTTTTAGCTTAAAGCTACAAACAGCTCGGTTTCGGTTCAGAGCTTTACACCTACTTTTATAACTTGTTAGGTTCTTGCTATTTTTAGTCCCTGCTCAGATGATGACATGCTTGCTTGCATTTTCAGGATGTACGTTATTCCATTCTATCCCCAAAACGATATCTGGGCCATGCTTTTCCCTTTGTAAAGTCTGCCACTGAAAGAGATGACTGGATTTGGACTTAGTTGCTTGGTAACACCAGCGTGTCTAGCGATCTCAGTTGGAGGTCAGGTGATTGTATGTTCTCCACTTGAGGTGAAATACGAGGTAGAGTTCTTGTTAACTTCCAAAGACATACATGGAGTGCAGTAATTCCCAAAAGGCTAACATGATGGCAGATCGTACATTGGTGGTAGTTTTCAAATCCAAAAGTATTGTTTGGGTGATGGTGTCCTTTTTTTTTTAATTCGTCGCATTTTTTAACCCATGCAAAAAGTGATTAATTGATACTCACACCACTAACATGGTTCAATTTTGTGGATCATATGTTGGTTATCAGCGCAAGTGAATGCTTTGTAGCGATAATCAACGAATTCGTTGCCATCATATCAATCATAGTCAAGTTAGAGGTGCCAGAGACTGTTTTAATTAAGAATACGGCAACAAAAATAGATGACATGTTATTATTATTTGTCAAAGGAAATTGATACTTTAGATTTTTTTTTTAATTTTTTAATAACAGATAAAAATTATCAAAAATTTGATTGGTTCAAATTTTTAATTCAAATTCTAGTGAATAATGCTTTGGTATATAGTCAGGACTCATTAAACCGAAGTCTACGTTTTCACAAAAAAAAAATCTTTGGTTTAGAAAACCTTAATAAAATTGGCTTATAGAGATAAATTTTAATAGGTAGATAATAAAAACGTCGGTTTATCGTGTATATTCATTTTATCAAAGCATCGTCTTAATGAGTTCTGACTGTATTAGGTTCGTATATAAGTTTTTTCTTAAACATTGTCTTTGTTTTGTGGTGTAGATGTAGATAGTAAGATAACAAGAAGATCAAATATCTATCCATCAATAACGAGTGATAATATTGATTGTAAAGAAAGATCTTTTAATAATTAATCCCTCATGCATGCATCGAACAAAATAATTTTCATTAATCATAAGAAGCACCTTTTATTCTCCCCAAAAAATTCTGTTTAGTAAAAGTTGGGTTTCTTGGCTCTGTATATTCTATATGTTTTGTACATTCGTCAGCTCATTCGTCGGCTCATTCGTTCTGAATATGAGCATAATGAGTACTTTATATAGAAAGTTTTATTTCCCGTGCTACCATTTCATTGACAAATATAAATCACCAAAATTATACTAAAAAAAAAATTCCAAGGGAAAAAGTGGTGCTATGAGTTATGTGTCATTTTTATGACAAGGTCACTAATTCAAGTTAGTAGTAGAAATTCATTTTATCATAAAAGAACTAAATTCTACGATAATTATGATAACGTTCTGATATTGCTAACCAACGTGCTAATATATCGATAAGCTAATTTTAAATTTTAAATTAAACTTCTTACTGATCAAAGGCTCAGTATCTAAATGATTCCCAAAAATTATTATCAATGTTTTTTAAACATTTTCATGGTTCATATTAACTCTTGTTATGGACCTTGTTCTTATGCAATTTCAACCGCAATTTCAGTACAGTTTCAAGGATAATCGTGTAGTTTGCCGTTTTTTTCTGCCGTTTTTTTTTGTCGATCAATATTTATCACATCCGAAATTTGTCA